TTCTGCACACTGACTGACTAATGTCATATTTATCATGTGTTGGTTTTTCGGGCTCTCAGGATCAAAAGGAGTATACATGTGGTAAGCTTCACACAGCCTTTCATAAAATTGTGTGGGGCTTTCCTCTTTTCTTTGAATAACCTCAGAGACTTTATTAATATTTGTAACTTTCTGGGCCCCCTTTTTTAATCCTTCCAGCAAGGCTTCTCTGTAATGGAATAGCCTCTGCATGCCCTCTGGGGTGTTCGGATCCCGCTGGGGGTCAGTTCCTGGTAACTGGACCCTGACATACTCTTGGGGGTTCTGGTAATCTGCAGGAACATGCTCTTCCAGCCAATTAGAAGTGGCTTGGAGTGTTCTCTGCCTTTCGTCCGTGTTAAAACGATGCATAAGCAGCTGATGGCAATCAGCCCAAATGCGGTTATGAGCCTGAATAATAGTTTACAGTAGATCAATAAGAGCCTGGGGTTTCTCAGTATAAGACGGGTTGTTATTTTCCAATTGATAAGATCAGCTGAGGCGAACGGCAAGTACGTGAAAACACGCTTTTCTACCATGTGGCCGTCCTCATCCAGTTCTGTGTACTTTTGCTCTCTTAAAGGCATCTGCACCCCTGCCTTGGATCGCAGACAGGCTGCCAGAGGGGGAGTCCCTCCAGGAAGTGGGTAGCAATGGGAGGAGTTTTTCTGCACTCTCTTTTGTCTTCTCTGGGTGGTTTAGGGGTATACAACTCTGGTAGGGGTGCTGAGGCTTCTGGCCCAGGGGCAGGGAGTCCCTGAGGAGGAGAGGACATTATTAGCAAAAACTCTGGCTGCCGAATCTGCCAGAACCTTGGGAGTCGTGGTTTCTGCCACTGAATCTGCCTGGACCTTGGGAGTCCGCATCTCTCAGCAGCGTTGAGGGGGGTGGTTTCTAGCAGTTTGTCCCTTGGCCACTAAAACAGTTGCTGTCTGTCCTCTTAACCACCTCAGAGGGTTTAAAACTAACTGCAACCACGAGTCTATGTACGGAAATTGATCAAGGTGTTCTGGCTCGCTGCATATAACCTCATGCCTTACTTGGGAGACAAGAGACCTGTCTAGGGTCCCTTCTGAGGGCCAACCTACCCCAAATGCTGGCCAGTGTACCTCACATAAAGTCCTTAATTTCTCTGGTGTCATAGCTACTCTATGATTTCCACTAAATCCCTTCTTGAAATTTTTCAGCATGGTCTCTAAAGGCTTGCTATGAGCATGAACCATGTCTACATGCCAAAAAAACAATTCTCACAGTTAAGAGAGTGTTACTCCACCAACAGCAGTTCCCACCCAGCAGGATGCAGTACACACTCTGATTCATTTGCTTCAGTCCCTTTCACAACGCCTAAATAGCAAAGGCTCCTCCACTTAGGCTTGTGTGGCCGTCTCTAATTCCAGTCAGCCCTACAAATTGCTTGGAGTATGAGGCCTCCCCTCTAATGGGCCATTATACTCCCATCTTTCATGGCCAGTGAGTCCAGTTGGACACACACACACACAAACTTGCTTTCCTCCCTCTACCCAAATTGAAACCATAAGCAAAAGCTTCCAAGATTAGTCACAAAAGTAGAGGAAGAGAGAGCCAAGTTCAAAAGTGCCACATCTGGCACACGTAGGTGATCAGGCCATGCTTCTACCTAAAGGAGGTGAGCAAGTTTCCTGGGACCAGTCCTACTGTGTTTCTGTTGTCCAGACATTCCAAATACCTGTTCCTTCTCAGTGTTCAGTCACTGGTTAGATCCACACTGCGGGGCTTTCCTGCTCCGCTCTGGAGAGGCTTTTCACCGGGCAGATACCTGCCTGGGAGCACTCTCAAGAACTGTCTTGCCCCATCCGGCAGGAGCCCCCCTCAGAGATGCTCTGAAGAGCTAGGCAAACCACCTGAGAGGCTTTTCTAGCCGTCTGCCAACTGAAACTCGTTTCCTGTTCAGGGAATCAAATGAAGCAGGAGTGGCTGTAAGAAACATACCTCTCAAACATCGAACTGGGAAGGAAGAAGTCTTTATTATTATTATTATTATTATTATTATTATTATTATTATTACGGCTGGGAGCCAAGCGACAATTTGTCTAAATGACCAAGCTCACCTAACAAAGAGAAGCTCTGTATTTCTATAGGCTTACACTTTAGATATTACACATGAAAGAATCTTAGGTTTACAGCCTTAGAAATTACAAGTGAAAGGGTCTTGGTTTTATAGCTTTAGAAATCACATATGAAAGGGTCTTGGATTTATAGCTTTAGAAATCACGTAGGAAAGGGTCTTTGGTTTATAGCTTTAGAAATCACATATGAAAGGGAATGAGGTGGGGTTTTGATCTTAAGTAAAACAATGTCTTCTGGAGAGATTTCCCCCACACCATGCCTGCTATATACAGGAAGGTGATTTAGGAGGCACCAGTGAGCCAGCCTTTTCTTCTATTGAAATGCAGTGTGGAAGTCAAGGGGGTGGTGATTCTAGATGTCTGGGTCTCCTTCCTCAGTTACATGGAATCTCCTCTTTACTCAGCTTAGGACTCAGCTAGTTTTCACAGTCTTCTAAAATTCTTGGTTTATTTATTTATTATTATTTTTGGAGCCACGGTCTTGCTCTGTCACCCATGAAGGAACACAGTGGCGCAATCATAGCTTATTGTAGCTTCAACTACCCGGGCTCAAGTGATTCTCCCTGCTTTGTCTCCCCACAGTTGCATACCACCATGCTTGGCTCATTTTTAAAGGAATTATTTGTAGAGACAAGGTCTCACTAGTTGCCCAGGCTGGTCTCAAACTCCTGGGTTCAAGTGATTCCCCCCACCTTGGCCTCTACAAGTGCTGGGATTACAGGTGTGAACTACCTTGCCTGGACTGTCTTTAAGGTTTACATAAATAGTTCATGTTCCTTTCATGTCTTTTGCATATGTTTATCTTAGCATGTAGTAGCAATCTTTATCTCACTTGTTTTTCCATAGGCCATAAACTAATTGAGGGCTAGGACACTTGTTTTATTCTCTCTCTCCCCAGTGCTTGGAGCACAAGAAGTATACAATATAAGTGTTTAATATAAGTGATTGCTTCTTTGTTTCTTAGATTTTGGTGCCTTTGACTTTAAGGCCATTGCTGTCTTTACAGCCATTGCTATTAATTTGTTATTGTTGAACCAACCAGGCAGTCTTACCCCTCTTGTCATCCTGTCATTTTCTGCTACTTCCTTTGAGGATTGTTCTGGAGAGACCTTGACTTTCTGAAACCTCTGTGAGAGATAAATCTTTTACACATGTACTTCTTTCTTCATAATTAAGATTTATGGGAATGTTTTGATATAAACAAAATGATACTTCTAAGTTTTTTTTTTTTTTTGAGGAACAGCGTGGGTCATATCTTATTTTCCTTTTTGGTTTTTATATGTTTATGCAAAGTAATTTTTAAAAAGCTATCCAAAAAGTGAGGGATTAGTGTAATGAACTTCCATGTACTGGAAGCTTCAGGAGTAATCAACCCCATAGTACCTGAAGGTAAGTACTTCATATATCATTAGAGTTATGTAGGTTCCTAGAGGCTATCTTGAACTCCTGACCTCAGGTGATCCACCCACCTCGGCCTCCCAAAGTGCTGTGATTACAGGCCTGAGCCACCGTGCCGGGCCCCGGTTCCTAGAGGCTATTTAGGGCTAACCTCCCCCTCCAAAATACAAGCTAGTAATCTAGATACAATTTGAATTTCTGTATAGATAGGAATTTCACACACTCTGGTTCAGTCTGTTTCATTATTGAACAGCTGCATTTGTAAATTAAGCTAAACTGTGCCTCTGAAGAAACCCTGATTGATCCAGTTTTAACCGTTTCAACATAAGACTTTTAGTTCATTGAAGACAATGATTATAGCTTTCTTATTAGCTGAAAGAACGTTAATTTTAAATGGCATCTTTTAAAAAACGTGTACTAGTTAAACTGACAAACACATCTTGAGGACTAGGGAAAACAAATTCACTTTCCTTATTGATTTGTCAATTGATGGCTTCTGGTAGTAGGGCCAGTATTTTAAGTTAATTTCTGATTTAACTTGAACGTATTTTAACCAAGTAAGCAGCTTTTATATCTTTTGATATTTAGTTAATATCAGAATAGAATGCTTGTCAGTCATGGTTTACTCTCTTCTAGTTCTTTACTCACCGTATCTAATAGATGCTTTATTTATGAGATCTTTAAAAATTTGTTTTCTATTCAGAAGTTGCTAATTCAGATTATTTCCTTAATTTCCTTTTTTTTTTTCCTTGAGGCAGGCTCTGGCTCTGTCGCCCAGGCTGGAGTGCAGTGGCATGATCTCGGCTCACTGCAACCTCTGTCTCCCAGGTTCAAGTCATTCTCCTACCTCAGCCTCCCTAGTAGCTGGGATTACAGGCATGCGCTACCACACCCAGATAATTTTTGTATTTTTAGTAGAGATGGGGTTTCACTCTGTTGGCCAGGCTGATCTCAAAACTCCTGACCTGAAGTGATCCACCCTCCTTGGCCTCCCAAAGTGCTGGTATTACAGGCGTGAGCCAGTGTGCCTGTTTCCTTAATTTCAGAATCACTTCACGGCAGCATGTACATTGTAATATATGTGTCAGTTATGATTATATTGTTAAAATCAAGCAGCCCAGGTTATTTAAATGATTTCTTCCTCTTTTTTTGTTTTTGTTTTTAACTTGGACTTTTATTGGTAATAGATTTGAATAGAAGGTACATTCTGAGAGAATCTTTATAAACCCTTAACTTCTTCCCAAGTGTTCAGATCACTTAATATTCTGAGTTGATTATGCTCTATAATGTATTTATCTGTGTTTTACCACAATGAGAATTACGTATGGAACATATTTGTTAGATAATTCAAAATAGCTGGTTATATGTAGTATGTGTTTAAGCATTTCTTTAGCTTGTTTGTATAAAATGAAGAATGTGTTTTGTTCTTACTGGAAGTTCAAAACTAGAATGTAATATCTCTCTTCTTTATTTCTGTAGAGCAGGTTGTTGCCTTGGATGCCCAAAATATCGTAGCTGTTTCATGTGGAGAAGCTCATACATTAGCATTAAATGACAAAGGCCAGGTGTATGCTTGGGGTCTCGATTCAGATGGACAGCTTGGCCTGTTAGGATCAGAGGAATGCATCAGAGTACCCAGGTAACAAAGGTGACCAGAAAGCGATCCTTAACAATCTTTTATAATAAATTTGTTAATCTAAATCATTTTGCTTATCTTTAGGCATGTAAAAGTTGACATCTCATTATTTCTCCTCTTTGAGTCCTTTGATAAGAAATTGGTTGAGCTATTGATTGGTTTGCTATTTTTATATACCCTATATTTTCTCTGTAGTCAGTAGAATTTATGTTTGTTACCAAAAAAAAGGGGCAGGGAATACTTGCTTCATTATATATTTTTATTAGTGAGTTAGACTAATTTAAACTACTAATTCTACTATCTCGAGCATTCCTGTTACTGAAATATTTATTAAATATTGGTTTGTTACATATTTTTCACTAACTTGTTTTTTTCAGTCTTTATTATTTTTGTTGAAGTCCAACATGCTTACTCTAAAAAGAATTTAGTCAGTTTCCTCTTTTTACGTAGCAGTAATCACAATTTAGTTAATTAATCATATAATCATTTTACAATTAGAAAATAAGCAGTGTCTCATCAGTGTTTTAGTCTTACAGATTTATATAGGACATAATCATGGTTATTGTTTTTTGTTTTTGTTTTGAGACAGAGTCTTGCACTGTGCCCGGGCTGGAGTGCAATGGCACGATCTCAGCTCACCGCAACCTCTGCATCCCGGGTTCGAGTTTTTCTCCTGCCTCAGCTTCCTGAGAAGCTGGGATTACAGGTGCACGCCACCACACCTGGCTAATTTTTTGTATTTTTAGTAGAGATGGGGGTTTCGCTGTGTGGGCCAGGCTGGTCTCAAACTCCTGACCTTGTGGTCTGCCTTGGTCTCCCAAAGTGCTAGGATTACAGGCTTGAGTCACTGCTCCTGGCCAATCATTGTTTTAATATTAAAAACTGTAGCAGTATGTATATTTTACATAGGTAAAAATATATAGATTTAAAGAAAAGCATTCAGTTTCTTTTAGATACATAAATAATGTATTAACTCATACTTAGTTTTAATATTTATATAAATTCTGACCTCTTAAAACTCTTTTGTTCTTTTTCTTAGTAATAGTTGTAGGAATAAAATAATGCTATAGGAAACCAAGGTATTCTTAAGTTAATTTTAGATTTACTGCAGATGGCATTTTTCTACACATCTTTATGCATTTTGTTTTTTTTTTTTGTTGTTGTTGTTTTTTAATTTTATTTTTTTGAGATGGGAGTTTTACTCTTGTTGCCCAGGCTGGAGTGCAGTGGTGTGATTTTAGCTCACTGCAACCTTTGCCTCCCAGGTTCAAGTGATTCTCCTGCCTCAGCCTCCCTAGTAGCTGGGATTACAGGCATGTACCACCACACCTGGCTAATTTTGTATTTTTAGTAGAGATGGGGTTTCACCATGTTGGCCAGACTGGTCTTGAACTCCCAAACTCAAGTGATCTACTCGCCTTGGCCTCCCAAAGTTCTGGGATTACAGGCGTAAGCTACCGCGCCCAGCGCATTTTGTTTTTAGCATTGATAAATTTTGTTTTGGTTTAAGAATGAGGATGTAACTACTGGAATAAGAAAATGGAGCATAGGAACTCTTAATTTGACATTTTATATCCTGTTAATAATGAACTATCTGTTGAGACTTTTATTTTCTTTATTGAACATATAACCAAATTCTTCAAAACTCCCCAATTTGCTTACCCTTTGTTTCTTCTGCACTCATAAATAACACACACAATTCCCAGTGTCCTTTTGATTTCTCTTAATGATGGAACTTTTGGGAGAAAAATATTTTTTTTTCTTAAAGCATTCATAAAAACATAGTGACCTCACATTTGACCTTCCCTCTACTCCTTTTATTTCTTCTCACAAGTAATTCTTATAGAACAGAATTTTAAATTTAAGATTTTTTTAAAAATTGTGTTTTTAGGATGAAAAGATATTTGCATGTTAGATCTTGTAAGTCAGTATTCTCAAATCCATGATTCATGGCAAAACTTTCTAGTTTCCTTTCTTTTTACTTTACCATTCTGATGATTCTCATGCTTAAATTTCTGTTGCTGTTCACTTTTAAGGGATTTTAGTCAGTAGTACATAGGTAAATAATAAATGGAAAGGAAGTTAATTATAAGGAGAGAATTTTATTATATAAAAATTTTATTTGAGAGTTGTCTAATAATAACAATGAACCTGGATTGGGACCTGAAAGAGAATTTACTTGAGTTCTTTGGTTTAAACATCTTTATTTTTGTATGTGCTCAATATCTGTATTAACTTTAAACTGTGTGTTAAGGTATTTCTGCTCTTCATCCATCTCAATTTTTCAGAATTTTATGGCTTGATCCGATTTGTTGTAACATATACATAGTTTTTACTGATAGTATCAGGTTTTAAAGGGCCATTCAGTATTTCACTCCTTTTTATGAAAGGAGGAGTGCCAAGTGAGTTTTAGTTTTAATTTCAGTACCAAATCATCTTTTAGATGTAAAGCTTTTTCTAGGTGGCTCAGAGATGTCAGCCAGTTTTGTAAATTTTTAGTATCTATACACTGATTTCTAAAAATTGGTGTTTATAGATTTTATTTATTTATTTATTTATTTTGAGACAGAGTCTCACTATGTCACCCAGGTTGGAGTGCAGTGGCATGCTTACACTCACTACAGCCTCAACCTCCTGGGCTCAAGTGATCTTCCCACCACAGCCTCCCTAACAGCTGGGACTATAGGCATGCACTAGTATGGCCTGGCCAATTTTTTTTCTTTTTAAATAAAGATAGGGTTTCACCATGATGGCCAGGCTGGTCTTGAACTCCTGACCTCAGGTGATCCACCCACCTCAGCCCCCCAAAGTGCTAGGATTACAGGCATGACCCACTGTGCCTGGCCTGCCTGGCCAATTTTTATATTTTTTGTAGAGATGGAGTTTTTCCATGTTGCTGTCCAGGCTGGTCTCAAATTCCTGAACACAAGGGATTCACTGGCTTTGGCCTCCTAAAATGTTGGGATTACAGGCGTGAGCCCCTGTGTCTTGTCTAGTGTTTATAGATTTTCATAAGAGTAATCAGAAAAGACTGGGTGCAGTGGCTCATGCCTGTAAATCCCAGCACTTGGGGAGGCTTAGGCAGGTGAATCACAAGGTCAGCAGTTCAAGACCAGCCTGGCCAGTATGGTGAAACCCCATCTCTACTGAAAATACAAAACATTAGCTGACTGTGGTGACAGGCACCTGTAATCCAGCTACTCAGGAGGCTGAGGCAGAGAATTGCTTGAACCCAGGAAGCGGAGGTTGCAGTGAGCTGAGATAGCATCACTGTACTCCAGCCTGGGTGACAGAGCGAGACTCCATCTCAAAAAAAAAAAAGAGTAATCAGAAAGATTCACATGAGATTATACTTTTGTGACAAAATTCATTTTTTATGCCAATGAATGGATAATATTAAAGAAGAATGTGAAATTAATAATTGGATATAGCTGAAACTAATTTGTTAATGAATTCTTTCCTACTTCTAAGTTTGTTTTGTTTTGAAGTCACTACTTTGGGAAAGAGCATGTATTTTAAATAGTGATAGTTAGTGTCTATAGACCTGCATTTCTGGCTAGATTTTAATGTAGACTATGTATTACACCTTTTTATTTAAAAAAATTACCCATATTTTATTATCTTAATGTAAGTGGAAATATATAACTTTGCTCACAGACTTCAGAAAAATAATTGGCAGTAAAGATGTAGTTTATCCTTTAAAAGTTCTGCTTCTTAGACATATGCACTAAAAAATTACGGCAAGATAGTGTAAGATTATTATTTTTGTGAGTACAGCTATTTCTGGACTATACAAACTGACTTAACATGTTTGAATTATTAGCTGGGTCAAAAATTTATTTATTTGGGCTGGGTGCCGTGGCTCAAGCCTGTAATCCCAGCACTTTGGGAGGCCAGGTGGGTGGATCATGAGGTCAAGAGATCGAGACCATCCTGGTCAACATGGTAAAACCCCGTCTCTACTAAAAATACAAAAATTAGCAGGGCATGGTGGCGCGCTCCTGTAGTCCCAGCTACTCAGGAGGCTGAGGCAGGAGAATTGCTTGAACCCAGGAGGCAGAGGTTTCGGTGAGCCGAGATCACGCCATTGTACTTCAGCCTGGGTAACAAGAGTGAAACTGCATCTCAAAAAAAGAAAAAAATTATTTATTTTCTTTTTTCTTTTTTTTTACCTGAAACGGAGTCTTGCTCTGTTGCTAGGTTGGAGTACAGTGGTGCAGTCTCGGCTCACTGCAACCTCCACCTCTGGGCTCAAGTAATTCTGCTGCCTCAGCTTCCAGAGTATCTGGGACTACAGGCACACACCACCATACCCAGCTAATTTTTGTAGTTTTTAGTAGAGATAGGGTTTTACCATGTTGGTCAGGATGGTCTCTATCTCTTAACCTCATGATCCACCTGCCTCGGCTTCCCCAGGTGCTGGGATTGACAGGTGTAAGCCACCGTGCCAGGCCAAAAATGCAATTTATTTTCTTGTTATTCATTTAAAAATATGTTACAATTTCTGCCTAATATTAGCATATGAAATTTTAGAGCATTGTTAATTAAAAAGGAAAGGAGTACTTTTTAATGGTACAGACTAGATCAGTTGTTTAAATTTTTCATTTTTTAAAAAAAATCAACTCCCCTAATGTGAGATAAATTTTTGAAAATTGAAATGAGTTGGTGTTAAGATTTTTCTTAAATAACTAGGAAAGTTGTGGCTTAACTGGAAAATAGAAAATTGTTAATTCTGTTTAATTGGGAAAATATTTAATACTTTATTTCCTCAAATGTTTAATTACATAATATAAACTTTTTACTAATTATTAACATTAGTAGTTGGAATTTTGTCTTCAGAAACATAACTAGCAATGCCTGGTTTCTGCCTGTATTGCCGCTACACATTAAGTTGGAAAAATAGAAGAATACAACAGTATACATATTGCGTAATTAATATGCTTTAGCAGCATCCCAAAGGAAGGGTGTATAAATCTTATTTCCAAGTTTTTAACTTTTACGAATTTCAAATTGCTTTCAAAATTTATTCAAGAAATGGTTCAGTTATTTACAGTGAATCATTTTAGTACTATCACCGTCATTTAGAATATTTCACATACTCTAAACTTTAGACAGTTATTTGAAATTTGTAAGCAGTATAAAATGTTTGCTATGGAGGTCTGATTTCTGATTTTTTAAAACCGATTTGATTAATTAGGAATCTTTATGTTTTGTATGCATGCATATGTATGTATATTTTTTTAATTTACGAAATTTATTCTGGCTTCTTTTGCTTTTCAGTTCAGTATATTTGAATCTTCAAAAACCATTAAACACATTATCTTTTTTACGTGACAAAGGGGATGACTTTTGATGAGTTCTAAAATATTTATTTATTTTCTAATTATCTCTTTAGGAAAAATGGAACATGGGAAGCTTTATTTTACCATTCACAGTATTTTTTTTTTAACTTCTGAAAGTTAAAGCAATATTGCCCCAGTCTTCAGGGTATTAATACATTTATATGAACATGGAAAGGGATAGTTTTTTTTTTGACACAGTAATGAGACAAAAGAATGTATTTCCTGGTCTCTGTAGTAGATAATGGCAAAACATATTAGCATTTATGTGTATTCACAAGCCTTAGGTTAGAAAGGAGAGTGACTGAGTATAAATTGCTATGCAAATTTAGAAGGTTTTTTTTTTTCAAATTTTATGACTAATTAATACTAAAGCCTCCAAGACCTTACAAATTTATTTATCCTTGAACAGTATATTCATTACATACTAATAATTAGGCACTATAATAGGTGCTAGGGATTATCATGGGTATAAGACACATAGTCTGCCTTCACAGAATTTATTGTTTAGCAGAAGAGACAAATATTAAATGAATATGTATACTAATAGTACCGATAAATACTATGAAGGAAAAAACAGTACTATGAGAATGTAGTATTTTGACATGTTTCATTTGCAAAATTGTACTTGCTACCCAGAGTGGTGGTTTGTTTTGTTTTTTTTTCCCCTAAAATAGTTAATTTGCTGAACAGGTCAATGTATCATCTGCCTAGTACACATAAGCAATAACAGTAAATGTTTAGTAATTTGAGCACAGTTGTGTATGTTCATGTATTTTTATTCTTTACTCTTTTTGCATTACCAGTGTTTGATTTTGTTATTTCAGAGAAATGGCATTTTGTTAGGTTTGAAAATTTGAAGGTACATTGCATCCTGCTAATTTGTTGGATTCTGCTAAATTGTAGCAATACAACTCTCAAGTTTTGTAGTTAAGAGCATAAATTCACTAAATAAAAATATTTTTAGTACAATAATATGGAATTAGAGTAACTCTCCTTTTTCCTGCTCAAAATTTGATTTACTGAAGCTGCCTCCCGAAAATCATGTGTCAACTCTGGTCAGAATTTTCTCCAGACTCTTTTATGGCAGAATCAGGTCAGGTGACAATATCAGGTAAAAGGAAGTAAGAAACATAGTGTACCTCCCCATCCCCCCTTTTTTCTTTTCTTTTCTTTTTTTTTTTTTTGAGATTGGGTCTCACTCTGTTGCCCAGGCTGGAGTGCAATGGCGTGATCTTGGCTCACTACAGCCTCTGCCTCTTGCATTCAGGTGATTCTCCTGTCTCAGCTTCCTGAGTAGCTGGGACTACAGGTGTCTGCCACCATAACCGGCTAATTTTTTTTTTTTTTCTGTTTCTAATTTTAGTAGAGACAGGATTTTACCATTTTGGCCAGGCTGGTTTCAAACTCCTGACTGATCTCAAGCGATCCACCTGCCTTGGCCTCCAAAAATGCTGGGATTACAGTAAACTATCTGTAATCCACATCCAGGCTCCCCCCCTTTTTTTCTTGAAAACATTCATTCAGGAAAAACAGTGGCATGACCAGGTAAAGGGAAAGAACCTAAGAAGATGCTGGGATGGTTGATATACATGCAAAGTTAATTGATTTTTGTAATGTTTTAAAAATGAGCCTTTAAAATTGTTTTGTAGTAAAATAAAACTCAGGAAAGGAGGGGAAGAAATTATGAAAGTGTAAGGACAAAATACAAGAGAGAAGAAAATAAGACTTAACGTATTAGTAGTGATTGTTATAAATGTGAATTGAGTAAATTTCTCTGGCAAAAAAATTAAATGTCCCTGATTTAGACGTAGAGCAAAAGGACAGCTTGTAAGGAATAGGTTTCATATAATTTGTGAGTTGGTAGAACATGATAAAAAGCCCTATTGGTTCTTCAGAAACCTGATAAAGGAGAACATACATTAAATTAGGCAAGACAACAATTTTAGACAAATTAGATAATGTACATTTGCTTTCCAAATGTATTGCCAAGTTTCTAACTGTAAGCTGATGATTTTAAAAAACTTTTATAATGAAAGAAAATGTCTGAATTATAAGAGCACTCTGAGGAGTACTTGAGGTATGATCATAGTTCACTTTGCTTCATTATTGTATTCCAAGGTGTTTTCTTATCATCCCTTTTAATTTTATTTTTTTGTATCTAGCTCTTATTAACTGATTTTAGCATAAATTTTTGGTATGGTAAAATTAGACTTGTATGAAAAAACTAGTGTGACCTATGTGCATATAGTAGGCCATCAATAAGTAATAAATAGCATTCAGGATCAATTTGTTAAATGGAATTAACTGATCTTGATCTGTCTTCTTCTTTTCTAGAAATATTAAAAGCTTGTCAGATATCCAGATTGTACAGGTTGCTTGTGGTTACTATCATTCACTTGCACTTTCTAAAGGTAAGTATTCGTTTTTTATTTCCCTTCAGTTTTATTACTTGGTACTTTTTTTATTGTGCATATAGTTCTCCAACTTTGCTCATCTTTCTCCAAGATTGTCCTAGTTCTTGATCCTTTTCATTTCCATATAACTTTTAGAATTAGCTCATTAGTCTGTACACACGCACACACACACACACACACACACACACACACACCCTTGGGATTTTGATTGGGATTTCATTGTCTCTATAAATCAATTCAAGGAAAATCTTTACGATATTGACCATTTCAATTGTAGAACATGGTATATTCATCCATTTAAGTCTCCCTTTAATTTTTCACATTAGCGTTTTGTTTTACCTGGACAGTTCTTATACACCTTTGATTAGACTTTCCCCTAGATATTTGGTTTTTTGTTGTTGTGAATGGTGTCATTTTTTGTTTATTATATAGACATAAAATTGATTTTTGTGTCTATTTATTAACCAGTTAAAAACTTTTCGTAGCTGCGACTAGGGAAGATTGCTTCCCCAATCTCATTTAATCTCACAGATGAACTTTCTATGAATAGAAATAGAGAAGGCCAAACATATTTATTAGTTTTGTTTGCATTCCTCTCATACTGATTTAACTTATTAGTATCCTAGCTAAGCACTGGAACATGGGTTAGTAAAGAATCTGCCATATGTATGTTTTTTACCATTAAAAGAAATAGGTTCCAGTTGTTCCACGGTTACTATTATTTAGTGAAGCCTACTACAAATAAACACTAAGCTAGAACCATGGGGGAGCACAGGTAAATAAAGAGACAGGTTTAGGGATCATACAGTCTAGTGAAAGAGTCAGATGTCCAAATAAATAACTGTAGTTTGAGGCAGAAAAAAATATGTATTATTTCAGACAAGGTAAAGGTACAATGCTGTGACAATGATATAATTGTTTCTAATTGATATAATTGGTAACAATAAGGAGGGGATTAGTGTTTGATGCAGGCTTTAAAGATTTATTTTCTTATTTATTAATAATTGGAGAAATGTTGAGAAGGACTAGGAGAAATGTCGAGTGGCTAAGGGGTTGTGCTAGTGTAAAGGCATAGAGTGAAGAAAGTGGTGTATTTGAATATTGGCATGTAGTTTTATGTGGGTTTTGTGAGGGAGACATACTCATACTTTAGGCTGAAATAAAAAGAGAAATCTGTTATAAAGGGCAGTTAGGAACATGGAATCTCTGTGTGTTCTTTGTTGTTTTGCCAACTCCTCTTTTGATATTTTGGTAGGTGGATCTAATATAAATATAAACTCAAAGGTATTACTGAGGACAATTTTTCATATTGACCTATTTTTTTTTGCCTTACTCAGCTTTATGCTGTAGGCAAAATCTTATTCATTTGCTCAACATTTTATAGAGCCCTTAGTATGAGCTAGGCATATCACAGTATATAGTGATAAGCAATGCACTACTTACTAGCCCTCATGATACAGTCATACAAATAATGACATAATTACATAGTATGATAAGGGCTATAAAGAAAAACTTCAGGGTATTTAAAATGTACAGTAGGGGTACTAGACCTAATGTGGGAGATCAGGGAAGGAAGGCTCCTGCTGGGAGAGAGTTGAAATGAACTGGACCTGGACAAAGATAAGGTGAAGGTTTAGGTAGAGAGAACGGCACGTGTGTGAGAAGTGGCCTTTGGAGAATATAAAGGAAGGCAACTATGGCTAGAGTATAGTGAGTGAGGAAAGAAACTGATACGATAAGAGATTGGAAACATAGGTGGATCGTACACAGCACCTTATAGGCCTTGTTTAAAGTATTTATCCCAAGAGCAACAGGAAAGCACTGAAACATATTTTTTCAGGTGAGCAATATTATCAAATCTGCATTTTTACAATATCTCTATGCTTGTATACAAATGTCTGTTTATCAATGTGCATAGAACATTTCTTGAATGACTTACCAGTAATTGGTAAGAGTGATTGTCTCTTGGAAGAGGAACCAGGATTCTGATTTTTTTGGAAGGAATCTTGCTTTTAAGTGTGTGCTGTTTTGTAATTTCAATTTAACAAAAGTTAGTTACTAGTGTATCAGTTATTTAGTGCCAGTTGTTTAATAAAAGGATGTCTAAAGTTGCAAAATAGGATGGCAGTATGGGAGCAAAAGTGACAGGCAGGGAAAACTATATTAAGAATAAGGGCCGGGCGCGGTGGCTCAAGCCTGTAATCCCAGCACTTTGGGAGGCCGAGGCGGGTGGATCACGAGGTCAACAGATCGAGACCATCTTGGTCAACATGGTGAAACCCCGTCTCTACTAAAATTACAAAAAATTAGCTGGGCACGGTGGTGCGTGCCTGTAATCCCAGCTGCTCGGGAGGCTGAGGCAGGAGAATTGCCTGAACCCAGGAGGCGGAGATTGCGGTAAGCCGAGATCGCGCCATTGCACTCCAGCCTGGGTAGCAAGAGCGAAACTCCGTCTCAAAAAAAAAGAATCAGGTAAGATGGTGAGGAAGGATCTATTTGCCATATTTTTCTTTAGAAAGAAAACTGTATATATAACTGGTGATGTATAATAGACTGGGTATGTGTGAGATAAAAGACAAAAGGAATATTAAGGAAGACTCCCTAGGTTTGTAATTTTTGCTACTGAGTCAGTTATGATGTTATTTACCGAAATGGGGAACACTGGCAAGAGGTCCAGGGAAGTAGAATGGGGTGATGAATTCAGTCTATGGCATCCTAAGTTAGAAGTTCCTTTGAAATATCCAAGTATAGATGTCAGGTAAACAATGAGTTATGTGGGGTTTTTTTGCTCATGAGACGTTTGGGCTAGTGATAAAATTTTGAATGTGATGAACATAGAGTTACTGAAGTTATGAGCTTGAATAAGTGCCTCTTGGGAGAAATTATAGGACAAAAATGATACTCAAGAATATTAACAGGAGACTGTTGAGCATAAGAAAATGAGATTATTCCTTGTTAAGTGACTCACCTGTTCATCTGTGTAGTCAATCAAAGTTGAAGTGTACTAATACTGAATGTTCTTCTAGGTAGTATATTTTCATATAAGAAATAAGCATAATTGCTAAAAAGAATATGTATATTCTTTTGATAATATGAATAATGTCCCAAAATAATATTCTTTATATGAAATTTGAAATGAAATGATTTTCAAAATAAATTTTTTGCATGTGAGAAAAATTTTTTTCAATTATTGTTTTGCAGCAAGTGAAGTCTTCTGTTGGGGACAGAATAAATATGGCCAATTGGGTTTAGGTACTGACTGTAAAAAGCAAACCTCACCACAGCTGATTAAGTCTTTGCTTGGAATCCCTTTCATGCAAGTTGCAGCAGGAGGAGCCCATAGTTTTGTACTCACCCTTTCTGGAGCTATCTTTGGATGGGGACGCAACAAGTTTGGTCAGCTAGGTCTTAATGATGAAAATGGTAGGTTCTCATTATGTATAGTTTACATGTACTTTTTAAAAGAGGTGATCTTTTGAGAAAAATTCTATAGTGTAAGATTCTATAGTGTAAGAGAGAAATGTATTCAAAACTTCCCTGGTATAGAGGTGGGGATGAGATGTTATTTAAAAATTTCATTTGGGGAATGCAGCAGGAAGACAAAAATACCCTTTTTTAATTAAAAAACTATAAACTGGATGTTTGGATGTTCATCTTCAAATTGTTGATCAATCCGTTTATTGGCCACTGTTAGTGGAAAGAAGCTATAAAATTATTCTGGGGAAGTAACATGAAGTGTTAATCTTTGAATTTTTCAAGGAAATGTGTAAATGATTTGGGTTGTTTAATTTTTGGTTGGGCTTCACTTTTAACATTGATGCAAAAGTCTTAAAAATAAATGTATTTTGAATTTGAAGAAAATTATAACTTAAACAAGTTGGGATCTTAGAACTTATTTTTCATAATTACTTTGAGTTGAATGCCAATATTTTATTTGCAAAAGCTAATTTCTTATAGTTTGATATAATTGTAGTGACTGAAATGGACAAAAGTGAGTTGTTGATCTATTAAGAACTAGTAATGGTAAGCAACCAATACTTCCAGAAATAATTAATACCTTGTTTTGCATAAGAAAAATATGTCCTATTAGGATATCATGTATCTTTTTTGCTACAAAACAGCCACAAGTACACTTTTTCTTTTTCAAGCTCTTAAGTAGGATCCTGTCAGTATAAGTTTCATGAAGTGAATATAAAGAATGATGTGTATAGGTGGAAAATTAGAAGCAGTTAAACAATTTTGAAATTCCTTAATTGCTGAGTTCTTTTGACAATTGATTGTCATATTGACTATTTAGCACTTAACTCTTTAAGTCTCCTTTTTATCACAATAGTATAGGTAGGCCTGGGAGCCTGATTTAGTAAGCTTATAGTACAAAATCATTGAATCATAGTTAAAATTATTTAGTCGCAGCTATCTACTGAGCTTGGGAAGCTGTAGAAGATACACATTTAGATGTGTTTTAATTTTTAAAATAATGCTAACATCTCTTTTTGGAATTTTCAGATAGATATGTTCCCAATTTACTAAAGTCACTAAGATCTCAGAAAATAGTTTATATTTGTTGTGGAGAAGATCATACTGCTGCACTAACCAAGGTATTGTACTTTTAAAAGTTCTTTATTATTACTCATAGTTCTTTCATAATTAATGAATGTTCTCATATTTTCTCAAGTTTTAACTTGAGTGTTATTGGTGTTTCAGACATAATTTATCTGGAAAAAACTTAGATTATTTATTCTTGAAAATAATTTACCTTATTTTTCAACTGTTTTATGTTATAAAATGTGAATTCTGATATTATATGTGATAGTATATATTGCTGAATTTCTCAGCTTTATATGACATACTGCTTAAATCATACTTTGAATAAAATGATTTCATTTTAGTTCATTAGTCTTGTCATGCTATGTATGTATCAAGCCCATTTGTATTGTGTAGCTCAGCCTAATTTGAAATTAGTTTCCGTTTGGCTTTGAATATTTCATATAAGCAATAGAGGAGACCGAATCTCTCTATTATTCATTGGCCAAGTATTGTGCAAGCAGTTATAGCAAGCTTTCATCACAGTCTTATCAATGGCTTTAACTCTGACCTCTCATTGTCTTGGGTATGTGCCAGTTGAGTATCAGTACTGTTTAGTTCTCTAGTGACTAGAAGTTAGATGAAAATGAAAGCATTCAACTAACCTTTACCAGAGAGTTGAAGTTAGCTGGGTGTTTGGTGGCAGGCACCTATAATCCCAGCTGCTGGGGAGACTGAGGCAGGAGTATCGCATGAACCTCGGAGGTGGAGTTTGCATTGAGCTGAGATCACACCACTGCACTGCAGCCTGGGAGACAGAGTGAGACCTTGCTTGAAAAAAAAAAAAAAATTCTAATCAGGCTTTAAAATGATCACTCTTATTTTTACTTGGGAATTTTAGCAGGGCAAGAATTCTTGTCATTGTCAAATACAGTGAACTCAATTGCACTTTAAAAAATATAATGACTAATTATGAAAGTTAAAGTATTTTGTATTACTTGCCTTTTAGTAAGGAAGGATTATTCTACCTGCCAATCTTATTATTAGGATAAGATTAATGGTAAAAACTGCAATTACTTTTGCACCAACCTAATACCATATTTTATTGATTTTTTCATTCACATTACAAATGTAATCACTGAAGTCTTACTTATTCTTGTTGGCAAGTTTTAAATTTTACTCATCCTGTTTTGTTATTGGTATTTGGAAGAAAGAAGGCTATGTAAAAATAATAGCAAAAATATTTTTTATCAAAATATAAAAAATATTTGTGTATGGTATCATTCCAAAAACTAACTTTATGGCAGAAAGACCAACAATGTTACTGCTTTTCAAATTCAGCCTTTCAGATAATCATTCATTGTAAAGTTCTAAGATAAGTAACTTTTTATGTCTATTTAAAGAAATGCTAAGTCTATTAATCTTGTGTATTCTTCTCTCAGAAGACAGTAGCTAGTGATATTTATTCATTGGAAGTTTGGGTATACATTATTTTTAACAAAATTAGATAGTTGTAAATATCCCCGAAGTAAAATATTTTATTTTCCCTTGATTTGAGTTACATGTTTCATGTCCATATGTCTTGCTTTTCTGGAAGAATTTCTTGGAAATAGTAAATAGATTAAGATTGCTTTATGAAGCAGTTTTCTGTACAAAACCTACACTAGGAAAATTGCATTAGCAAAGATTTTTAAATCAACGTTAAAAAACAGAATAAATGGAAAGACATGCCATGTTTATAGATATGAGGATACTTCCATAAAGATATCATATATATATATTTTTTTTTTTGCTTCTTTTTTTTTTTAATTGCATTTTAGGTTTTGGGGTACATGTGCAGAACATGCAAGATAGTCGCATAGGTACACACATGGCAGTGTGTTCTGCTGCCTTCCTCCCCTTCACCCACATTTGGCATTTCTCCCCAGGCTATCCCTCCCCAGCTCCCCCCGCCACTGTCCCTCCCCTGTTCCCCCCAATAGACCTGATTGTGTAGTACTCCCTTCCCTGTGTCCATGTGTTCTCATTTTTCATCACCCGCCTATGAGTGAGATTTCGCGGTATTTCATTTTCTGTTCTTGTGTCGGTTTGCTGAGAATGATGTTCTCCAGATTCATCCATGTCCCTACAAAGGACATGAACTCATCATTTTTGATTCCTATTAAAAGGAACCAGGACTTCTTAGGGAAGAGTCTGATCTCATATCTGGAGCAAAAAATATTTATAAGAACACCTTTGGGCACTTTGTGGTATGAAAAAGCAAAAATTACTACTGTCATGTCAGAAGGACAACTTGAAGGAGTTTTCACTGGATATCGAGAAGAAATAATAACTGCAAAAAATGGAAAACATCAGATTTATAAAAAAAATCCATGAGTTTGTGATGATATTCTCTTCCCCCAAATCAATATAAGCAAAGCTTATTGCTTACCTTTGGAGGTTGCTAGGACAGCACTCATTTTTTTTCATTGGTCAATAATGGGAAAGAACCAAGTTTTTAGCCTTTCATTTGCAAATTGTATTTTAGGGTAACTTAATAGTTAATAAGTTCTTTAGAGAAGAATTCTAGCTCATACCTCTAGGAAAAATAATAAAACTAGAAAAATCACCATTTTACACTCCCTCATAAATAATGGATCTAGGCAAAGAACATTGAGCTTAATGGTGATGTATCAGGCTGACATACTTTGACTTATTTGTTATATTTTATTTTATTGTTATTTTTTGAGACAGTCTCACTGTGTTGCCCAGGCTGGAGTGCAGTGGTGTGATCTTAGCTCACTCCAGGCCTCTGTCTCCCGGGTTCAACCAATTCTCCTGCCTCAGCCTCCTGAATAGCTGGGATTACAGGCACACACCACTACACTTGTATTTTTAGTAGAGACGGAGTCTCAGCCTGTTGGCCAGGGTGGTCTCAAACTCCTGACCTCAAATAATCTGTCTGCCTTGGCCTCCCAAAGTGCTGGGATTATGGGTGTGAGCCATCGTGCCAGACCCGACTTAACTTATTTTTAACTTTGCTGACAAAGCAGACATATGCTTTGTGAAATGATGCAATAAAATAATCAGGTACATTTAAACATGGCCTGGTTATTAGATGATATTAAGAAATTAGTATTGATTTTGTGAATGTGATAATAGTATTGTGGTTATATACTTTTGTCTGTTAGAAATATATGCTGTTGAAGATACACATTTGTGGGTGAAATGATTTGATGACCACAATTTGCTTTAAAATACTCAAGTGCTTTTTGTTTTGTTTTAAAATACCCCAAAAGGGAAAGGGAGACACCAATGAAACAAACTAACCAACCTTTTGCCAGTTATTGAAACTTAGTGATGGTTTTATGGTGATTTACTGTTATTTTCTCTTTACTTTTGTATATTTGCTTGACATTTTCTATGATTAAGAAAAGAAAAATGAATATTCTCATGTAACAGTATGTAATGATGCTAATAAATGATGAAAGCAGAATATAAAGTTGCATATATAGCTATAACTGTGAAGAAAAGCAGTTGAACTGAAAAATACTAATTGTGATTGTGTTGTCATCATAGATTTTTTCTAATGCAGAACTTCTAATTAGTTATATGTTACATGTTTTGTTTGTTTTGAGACAGAGTCTTGCTCTGTCACCCAGGCTGGAGTACAGTGGCATGATCTTGGCTCATGACAACCTGTGCCTTCCGGGTTCAAGTGATGATCCTGCGTCAGTCTCCCAAGTAGCTGGGACTACAGGCGCCTGCCACCACACCTAATTTTTGTAGTTTTAGTAGATATGGGGTTTCGCCACGTTGGCCAGGCTGGTCTCGAACTCCTGACCTCAAGTGATCTACCCGCCTAAGTTATTTTTATAAGAGTTTTTTTTTTTTTTAAAGACATCTCTATATCATTGTAACTGCATGCTAAAAATTGCTACAAGGCCACGCACGGTGGCTCATGCCTGTAATCCCAACACTTCAGGAGGCAGAGGCAAGAGGATTAGTTGAGCTCAGGAGATTGAGACCAACCTGGACAACACAGGAAGATGCCATCTCTACAAAAAAGTAAAAAATTAGCCAGACATGGTGGTGCATGCCTGCGGTCTCAGCTACTTATGAGGCTGAGGTGGGAGGATCACTTGAGCCCAGGAGGTTGAGGCTGCAGTTAGCCATGATCATGCCACTATACTGAAGCCTGGGTGACTGAGCAAGACCCTGTCTGAATAAATAAATAAGTAAATAAAAATTGTTCTATTTGTGCATTCTGGTTACATATACTCTTTTTGCAGATTGTTTATATAAGTCAATAACTACCTTGAAAAGTGAAGATGATACCATTTTTAGGTTTTGTGAAATCTTATATATGTACTTGAAATTCAGCAAGACAGTATAATGATAGTGAAAGGCAATACAAATAATTATTTGTATCTCTAGTGACTACATTAAATATTTTATAATGTTGAAAACATCATTACCTGGAATTCGCATAGTTTTATGACATTTTACTTTGATAGAACCAGCTGCTGTCTCTCTGTTAAATTGTGAAGACAGTTTGTAGAAGATAAAAAAACTGAGTTTATATTAAAGATTTGGACTTTAACTTATTTTCCTGTTATTTTATTTTATAATGTCTTGTAATGGTAAGGGGTTTTGTTTCTTTTTTTTTAGGAAGGTGGAGTGTTTACTTTTGGAGCTGGAGGGTATGGTCAGTTGGGCCATAATTCTACCAGTCATGAAATAAACCCAAGGAAAGTTTTTGAACTTATGGGAAGCATTGTCACTCAGATTGCTTGTGGACGGTAAGCTGTTATATAAAAGAATATTATGGTCTCTAAACTGCAGTTATTCAGGGATTGCTTATTGAATTGTTTTAGGGATCCTAATAATCTGAGGAAATACCTTCCCCTCCAAATACTGATTTTGTCACTGAGGAATCATAGTAACAGGAAAAACATCTTTTTTAAACTGTTATTTTATTTATCTTTACTTGATCAGATTTAGCTGAGGCAAGATGTAATAATGTATATGTAATATTATATTTATTATATTTGATATCACACTCAAAAGGCTTCTTTCTCTTTTCCACTTTTTTTTTTTTTTTTTTTTTTGGTGATAGAGTCTTTCCTTGCTGTCAGCAGGCTGGAGTGCAGTGACACAATTACGGCTTATTGCAGCCTTAACCTCCTGGGCTCAAGTGATCCTCTTTGCCTCAGCCTCTTGAATAGCTGGGAGTACAGGCATGCACCACCATGCCAGCTTATTCGATTTTTTAAATTTTTAGTAGCAACAAGATCTCACTATATTGCCCAGGCTTACCTTTTTTCCTTAAAGAGTGAAGAGATTGACCAATTAATTAAGACAGAATTAATGTGATGAAAGTTTGATTGGTATAATTCAACCAATTATCTCCTGATTTTCCTTATTCCGAATTCTTGGGAGTAAACAGAAGAGTCTTCGACATTGAGCTTTATCTATTGATTTTTAGTTCTTGGAAATAAATAAGAAGTCTTTGGGTTGAGCTTCATCTTTGGAGAATTAAATTGATTAGACTCCCAAGTAGCAAAATGTACCCTTCTTGACCACTTAATTTAATTTTGATCACCTTGCTTAATGTTTTTCTACCTTGTATGCGTATCTATACAATTGTTTAGTTTTACCAACTATTAGCTTCAAATACATGTAATTACACTGTGAGAATTCTTTGGTGATTCCTTTTTCCTCTTAACATCATGCTTCTATAATTTTTATGTAGTTATGGTTCTCCATCATTAGGCCTCATTAATGTTTTTTAGTTAATTTTGTGTATAGATAATATACTCATACTATTGCTGATAGACATTTGCATGTTGCCAGATTTTGGCAATTATGAATAATGTTGTTTTGCACTTTTATTATATGGTATATGTAAGCCTTCATATTCATCCAGAATGGAATTGCTGGGTTATAGAGGACACTTATTTCCCATGTGGTGTTTCCAGTTTATATTCCCATTAGCAATGTGTGAAAATTTTTGATGCCCTGTGTTCTTGTCACCAGTTGGTATTGTCAGACTTCTTGCTAATTCTTGGATATTTATTGTTACTTCATAATTTGAATATACATTTCCATGACTTACTTGAGTACCTTTTCCATATGTTTATTGGTCATTTATATTTCTTTATAAAAAATTGATTTATGGTAGTTATTTATATATTGTAGATACAAGTTCATAATGTTTCTCAGTACAGGGATAAAAGTTCTTTATTGGGCATATGTTTTACAGATGTCTTTCCATGTTTTACCTTATCTTGTTATTTTTATTCTGTTGTCTTTTTATGAACAGAAGTTTTAGATATTAATAAAAATAAATTTATTAATATTTTACTTAATAGTGCCATTTATTTCCTAAGAAATATTTTTCTACCTGAAAGCATTAAAGTAATCATTTATATTCTCTTCAGAAACATAATTTTGCCTTTTACATGGAGGTCTGTAAGCTATCTCAAGTTGATTTATTTTGTGGAGGACAGTATAATATTCAAGTAAGGAATCAACTTTTTAAAAACATAAATAGTCAATTACTCTAGCACAATTAAAAGTTTTTTTGTGGGAAATACGTACAACAAAATTTACCATCTTAACTATTTCTAAGTATACAGTCCATGGTGTTAAGTACATTTATATTGTTGTGAAACCATCATCATCATTCATCTCTAGAATTCTTTTTATCTTGCAGAATTGAAGCTCTATACCCTTTAAACAATAACTCCCTATTCTCCTCCATGCCTTCCTGTGGCAACTACCATTCTACTTCCTGTCTCTGAATTTAAGTACTCTAGGTATCTCATATAGGCACAATCTTACAGTATTTGTCGTTTGGTGACTGACTTATTTCACTCAGCATAGTGTCATCAAGATTCACCCATGTTGTAGAATTTCTTTCTACATGTGTCAGAATTTCCTTCCTTTAAAGGCTGAACAGTATTCCATTGTGTATATATACTACATTTTACTTACGCATTCATCTTTTGATGGACACTGGGGTTACTTTTGTGTTTTAGTTTATTGTAAATATTGTTGCTATGAACATGAATATAAAAACATCCCTTCACGACCCCACTTTCAGTTCTTCTGGGCATATATATACTCAGGAGTGGAATTGGTGGTTCATGTGGTAATTCTATTTTTAATTTTTGTAGGAACTGCCACACTGTTTTTCATAGTAGTTGTCCTGTTTTATATTTCCACCAACAGTGTACAGGGTTTCAGTGTCTCTACATCCTCACCAACACTGTTATTTTCTCATTTTGCCTTTTTCATTCTTGCTTTTTTTTTAATAATACCTATTTTAGTAGGTGTAACATGGCATCTCCTGTGGTTTTGATTTGCATTTTTCTAATGATTAGTGAGCTGAGCATCATTTTATGTATTTATTGACCGTTTGTACATCCTAGGGGAAAATGTCAAAGTATTTTTCTCTTTTTTGAATCTGGCTGTTTTGTTGTTGAGTTTTAAGAGTTTTCTATATATTCTAGATATTAATCCCTTATCAGATATTTGCAGATATTTTCTTTCATTCTGTGGGTTGTTGGTTGTTGTATTCTATAGATAGTGTCTTTTGATTCATGAAGCTTTACATTTTTATAGGGTCCAGTTTGTCTATTTTTTATTTGTTGGCTATGTCTTTGGTGTTATATCCAAGAAGTTATTGCCAAACCCAATGTCATGAAGCATTTTTCTGTTTGCTTCTTAGAGTTTTATAGTTTTGCCTTTTACATTTAGGTCTTTGATCTATTTGAATTAATTAATTTTTTTTTTCAGGCGGAGTCTCACTCTGTCACCTAGGCTTGGAGTGCAGTGGTACGATCTGGGCTCACTGCAACCTCTGCCTCCTGGGTTCAAGGGATTCTCCTGCCTCAACCTCCCAAGTAGCTGGGACTACAGGCACCCACCACTGCGCCTGGCTAATTTTTGTGTTTTTAGTAGAGACAGGGTTTCACCATGTTGGGCAGGCTTATCTCAAACTCCTGACCTCGGGTGATCCACCCACCTTGGCCTCCCAAAGTGCTGGAAGTATAGGTGTGAGCCACTGTGCCAGGCCAAATTAATTTTTATATATGGCATGAGTCCACTTTTATCCTTTCGCATGTGGATATCTAGTTTTCCCAGCATTCTTTGTTGAAAAGACTGTCCTTTCCCCATTGAATGGTCTTGGCCCACTTGTTGAAAGTCATCTCAACATATATACTAGGGTTTATTTCTGGGTTGTCTGTTCTGTTGCATAGGTCTGCATATCTGTCTTTATGCCAGTACTACATTGATGATTGTAGCTTTTGAGGTAGGTTTTGAAATCAGGAAGTGAGAGTCCACCAACTTATTCAAGATCTTTTTCAGGATCATATTAAATATTTGGGTTCCCTTGATTTCACATGGGGTTTAGGATGTGTTTTTCTATTTCTGCAAAAAACATTTTTGGGATTTTGATAGGGATTATGTTGAGTCTGTACAGTCTTTTGGGTAGCAACAACATCTTAACAATATTGTCTTCCAGTCCATGACCACAAGTGTCTTTCCGTTTATATCTCATTTAATTTCTTTCAGCAGTATTTGTAGTTTTATTATGCAAATCTTTTGCCTTCTTGTTAATTCCTAAGTATTTTATTATTTTTGATAAGATTATAAATAAAATTTTATTTTCTTCCAAATTGTTCATTGTTAATGTATAGAAACTCAGCTAATTTTTGTGTGTAGATTTTGTATCCTCCAGCTTTGCCAAGTTTGTTTATTAGTTTTAACAATTTTTGTGTGGAATCTTTAGGGTGTTCTACATATATGATTATATCATCTGCATACAGAGTTTTTTTTTCTTTCCAATTTGAATGCTGTTTATTTGTTATTCTTGCAAAATTGCGAAAAAGGGTAGAAAAGACTGTGTTGAATAGAAGTGGTGAAAGTGGGCATCCTTATTCCTGATCTTACAGGAAAAGCTTTCAGTCTCACTGTTAACTATGATGTTCATTGTTGCTTTTTCAGATAGGGTTCCTTATGTTGAAGTGTTTTTTTCTGTCTTTTTTTTTTTTTAGTTATCAAAGGGTGTTGAATTTTGTCAAGTTATTTTTCTGCATCAATTCAGATGATTGTATGTGTGCTTTTTCTTCTTCAATCTGTTAATTTGATATATTACATTGAATTCATATATTAATTTTCATATGTTGAACCATCTTTGCCTTCCAGGAATAGCTCCCTCTTGGTGGTTGTTGTGGTATATAACCCTTTTAGTGTGCTGCTGAATTCAGTTTATAATTATTTTATTGAGAATACTTTATATATGACAAACAACTTCTCTCTTGCTGCTTTCAAGATTCTTTGTCTTTCAGCATTTTGATTGAACTGTGTCTCTATTGATCTCTGAGTTTATCCTGCGTAGAGTTCATTGGGGCTATGGATGTTTAGATTCATGTCTTCCGCCAAATTTGGGAAGTTTTTGGCTATTACTTCTTCAGATAATTTCTCTTTCCCTTGCTGTATTCTTCTGAGAATTCCACAGTGCTTGTGTTGGTCGGCTTAATGGTGTCCTGTGGTTCCCTTAGGCTCTCTGCACTTTTAAAAATATTTCTTTCTGTTCCACAGACTTAATAATTTCAACCATCATATCTTTTTTGTTTGCTGATTTTTTTTTTTTTTTCTGTTTGCTGAAATCTGCCTTCAAATCTCTGTAGTATATTTTTTATTTTAGGTATTGTACTTTCCAACTCTGGAAATTTTTCTTAGTTTTTCTTTTTGATTGATGTTTCCATTTTGTTCATACTTTTTTTTTCTT